ACATTTTCGCTTTTCACTTGTAGCTCAAACGCGCTCTTTATTTGTATTATACTCTTATCTTTTATGTGCGCTTTTCAGCATTTGAATGAATTCGATGTGTAAAAATGAAATGAATTGAAGCGACATAACATTTTATGGTAGCACATTCAGATAAGTGCGCAGAGAAACGTGCGAAATTACTGAATATAACCCGATTAAAAGCTCTCAATTGAATGCAACTTTTAAAGCAGAGAATACAAGCAGGAAGGTGAAGTATGCGGGAAACGATCTCAGCCTTTCAAATGTGCGGGAATTTCTACAACTGAAAAATTTGACAAGTATACCGAGCTTTCTTAATACTCTGCCTTTTATAATCTTGCCGGATGCGTAGCGCTATGTACACATGGCTACGTTCTGATATTGAAAATGTCAGTAAACTGATAATAGATACGAGCTTCGCTCTCTTCGTTCATAAGACAACTGGATAGCTGGACTTCGCACGAGCTTGGGCAGCGTTGGACTACCATCAGTGTTTGCGCTGTCGCAAGATCCTTCTGAACCAAAGTGTATCTCAAGAGGTCTTTTGAGCTCTTCATCCGCAGTAAGGCCAGCCTTTTCCTGGCTGTAGAGATTCTAACAGGTCTTTGCTCTACCCGTATCCATGAGGTAAAGTTAAGGATGAGTTGAGTTGAGTCATATATATGCAGAATCCGAATCCTTTCCAAAACTTTCAGTTTCGTCATACAGATGGCGCTGTAATTATTAAATTTCTTTCCAACGATTTCTAAGCATAATGCATTCATCCTTTCGGAAATCCTCTAGTTCCTCAGAACTTAAGAAATGAGTAAATGATCTGACTTCTACTTTAGAAAAATTGAGTCAATCTCGAATGCCAAAATAAATTCTTTCTAAAAAATACCGATACAACATATATTTGAGATTTCTATAAATAATAATAATTCGGTAGGTGCTGTTAAATGCGCTGTCCGAATAAAAAAAGTTTTTATATTTCTTATGCAATAAAGAAAAATTTACATTTATCGCTGCCACTGTGGCTGCCGCTTCCATTGCATTACATTCGCACGCCTATGTGGCATACTAATGAGACAGCAAATGGGCAACACCCACCTACACGACCACATCGAGCGGCATACAACTGCTAGAAATAACTACAATGCGGCAACATTTGTCAGTCAGCAGTTGGCAGTTCGCTGTGCTAAAATTAATGTGACAGTTATTTTGGTTTCACCATAAAAGAGGGCCCCGAGCTAAAAAGCCGGCATGTCTAGCAAACCCGCATGTTACAGTAACACTGTCCACATGTGCGCACTTGCAAGGTTGCCAGTAGGTACTACTTTTGCATTTTAATTTGCAATAATAAAGTTGTTTGTTGTTGCTTGCAAATTGTTTAACGATTCCTTCGGCGTTGCCATATCGTTTGTTATATTCGTTCTTAGCATTTCCTTATTTCGTTTAATCACTTTAATTGTTGTTGCAAATATTTCGCAGTAAATATCATTTGCGTTGGCGTTGGCTTTGTCGCTGCTGCAGCCCAGCCCACGCTTCAGCATTCATACATCACGCGCTCACGCAAGCTTGCCTTGCGGCGCTGATTCGTTTGCAAAGTTTGTGATTTATTTACCATTTTCGTTGAGGTATTTTGTATTTGCCTTAGAATTCTTTGAAATATGCCACAATCTAATTTGTGCATCAGCACTGCTGTCAGTAGTCATAAAATAATTTTCAACATGTTGTTGTTGAACAATTATTTGAGTGATGAGAGGTGTGGTACTATTTAAGAAACTTTACGCCTCGTTCGCTTAGAACTAAGTACATATATTAATATTTGGTGCTGGAACTCTTTAATTAAAGATAATCCGTATATTTCTTGATTTAACTATAATAGAAATAAAGATTAATGCTGAGGTGCGGTGACGTGCCTCCAGAAGGTTCGAAAAGGCAGTATAGCCCTCTCTATAACACTTTCAGTGACACTTACTTAGTACAGCGACTTTCAAGAGCATGACGTCAAAAAAGAAGCAAGATAAATTAAATAAAAAATTCAGAAAGAAGGGTATAAGCCACGGCTCTTAACATAAGATATTAGCTCTACGGGCTTAACTGTTAAATAGCAAGCACGTTAATGCTTTTCCAGTTAACCAAAGCTCAATTGACGAAACGAAGTCGGCAGTTTTCGGCTACTTTATAGCATATTATTGAAAACCTTATTGAGTTATCTTTGGCACCATGGCAAACTCATAGTCGATTCCAGTATTCAACTGACACAAAAAGTTTTTTCGAATACCGTGGAAAACTATGAGGCCACTTTTCTTGCATCAAAATGCTACTCAAAAAATTCAACAGTGGTTCGGAGGCACCCTTAACCTTGTGGAATCCACCATTTGTCAAATAATACATAAAAGCAAAGAGGAGGAAGCTGAACCAAAAACACTGCGCTATAAAACATTAACGTTTCAAAAAGGTGGGCAAGTTTTAAATATCAAGTGAGCCTAAGGCTCCCCACCTTAGTATAAGTAACCTTACAGTTTTGAATAGAGTTTTCTACATACGTCGGAGACCCTATAAAATATATGTATATCTAAATGATCAGCTTGACGAGCTGAGTCGTTTTACCCACGTCCGTCTATCTGTCGGTATATACGCGATTCTTTTCTCCCCAAAATTCTGCTAATTTGTCGGAACCGCCGATATCGCAATAATATAGCATATAGCTGCCATACAAATTGAACGATCGGAATCAAGTGCGTGTATGGAAAACTTTTTCATTTGCGAAGGTAATTTCAAGAAATTGGGCAAGGATCATAACCTAAGGCCATCATGCAATTTCCGAAAAAATTGTATTGATCGGATCACTATAGAAGGAATTTTTTGTATTTGTGAAGGGCCTAACGTTTTTTTTTTTTTTTTTTTTTTTTTTTTTATGCTGCTGACAAGTGGGAAGCGCAGCTGCGTCATCACGATTTTTGCAGGACGACAGTTTTTTTCCACATATTGTTGCCAATTGCACCGGCAAATAACAGAGTTGATTCTCTTTTAGTGCTGTTGTTATTTTTTCCGAGCGCCACTGTTGCCTGCATATTTAGTAACAATTTTATTGTTGCCTCCGCCGCCACCGTTTCGCCAATCGATTTTACTTTGCGTTTAAATCAATTCTGCACGCGGTTGCATTGAACCAAAAAACGAATTCAGTCTTGTTGCTGTTGTTGTCTGCCGCTTCGTTGACAATGAGAAAAACAATCAAAAAGTATTGCCACAATACAACAATTGTTTAAGTGGCTGGCAACAGTTAAATTGCATTTACGTTACGTTACGTTGCTCTGAATTGCTTAAGCGGCACGTTGAATGAATGAAATTATTGCAAACACGTCGCTTTGATTTATTGTTGCAATGCGCATGAGTAATGGCGCAAAACGCGAACGCTTATGCAAATACACAGACACACTTACACACACATAAGTTTTCATGAATATTTAACGATATTTACTAAAGTGGAATTGTCAAGGATACTTACATGTCTCAACATATACATATGTGTATCTGCATACATACTAATCTCTATGCTGCAAGTGTTAAGAAGCAGCAGGCTAGGCTGTCGAAAAATAGGTGACTAACCGTATGCTCAGAACGCTTGTGGTTTTTTTGACAGTGTTTAGTTTTTAAGATCTCACTTTTGATATTGGAGCCTAGAAGTTTTGATATATGGAACCGAGATTTCATGCATCAAGAAATTGGTTCATAATTCTACACTAAATTATGAAAATGATACAAGGTAATAGCGCACACAAAAATAAAGAACTAATACCAGAAACTTCGGTGATTTCTAACCAAAAGATCAGCTCAATAGCCAGAGAGAACACGCAGCTATTCGTCTATACCGAGATTTATTGCTACATGCAGGCCCAGCTATCCTATTTCTGAAATGCGCGTAAAACAAATATCTTATTGCCGCTCGGCTCCAGCGAGTTGTTGAAAAGGTGGCTCCAACATCAAACTGTCTGCCAGGGATGTAAATTTTTACAGCTAGAATACAAATAAAGTTCATCGCCAGCTTCATCGAGGAATCAACCTGCCAAAAACAAAGTCAACCGCTCACACTAGCTACAGCTCTTTCAAAGTACATATTCGAATATTTTCGAAATAATTTCGAACAAAATTTGTTCAAAATTTAAAAGGAATTGCGCGACTGTGCAATCAATTGCCACAATTGCATATGCAAAACAGTTAAATGTCCCATAATAAAATTGGTGGAGTGTACCCAACAAAAAAGGCACAGAATCAAGGCGTCCATCAGTTGCTGGCTGGCCAACTGGCAAAGGTAATGAATGTTTTGCTTTTCACGTTCGGTAATTTATGAGCACAATTGCCAGAAACGGTTTTATTGATTAAGACAATACCGAATTGCAAGAGGTTACGGATGCAAATACAAAATTGTAGTGCATATGTTAAGACCCTGTAGGAATTTTTTTTTTGTAAAAGTAGGTATAAATTAGCATTACGAAATCAGTTAGAACAAGGCATACATGTCTCATGGAATGCGATTATATAAAGCAACTTGGACCCGATTATTTTCAGAGGCTCGAATAAAAATAATAGCATAAAATTTCGTATTAAGTCAGAACAACCTTTGGTAAAAATGTTAAGTGTAAGCAACACGAAGCAAGAATGAGCGAAAGGGCTAAAAAATTTCGCAAATACTTACGGAGAAATGCTGTCAAGCTGTTGTTGGGTTACGCTGTCTAGCTGGCTCCGGTTACGTAGACTCGACCGAAGTGTTAACGATAAGTAGAGGTGTTCGCCAGCGCCTACGCTTAATTTCAATTAATTTGGGTTAATTATTCAGGGAATCATGCCACTAAAATCAATCTGTAGTAGGTAAGAAGGTTTGATGAGAGTGGGAAGCAGCATAGGCTTTAGTTCAACAGGTATTATTAGATCTGTTAGAACACATATACATACGTCTACAGCATTATCTTTTCTACTTATTTATTTCGGCGAACGCCTCTTTTTAGAATTTTTTAAATTTTTACAAATAATTTACAAAGAGACTAGAAATTAATATTTGTACAAAGTGGTGCAACACGTACCACTAAACTAGCAAAGCCATATCGCTAATTATGATGCTCTTCGTCAGCTTGCCACTCTTCTTCATGCCAAAGACTTGCATGGAGTCCAACACCTTTGTGCCACTGCTCACCACACCGAAGGCCACACGTTTGCCATTTAACACCTGCAATGGCTTGAGACTTATGGAGAATTTCAAGGCATCCTTATGCAAAGCATCCTGATTATCTAGCGAGAAAGCCAATGTGCCTGGCCGATTATGATCCAGTGCACGCATGTCATACTCAATGCGTTTCGGTTTGATTTTCTGCTCTTGCGGTATAAGCAGACAACAATCCAGCCACAGACCGGGGAAGAGACGATTAACCATAATACAATTTTTATCTCTATTGCGACAGGCGCGCACAAAAGCCAATACGACTTGCGGACAAGCCTCCGTGTACAGTTGTATGGTGATGCGTCCAGCCGGACGCAAGCCCTTCACGTAGAAATCGAAATAGATGACGGGTCGCAACAGACGACGCAGCTGTGAGTAGGGTGGCATTTGCAATTGACTATACTTGGCCAAGATCTGTGCGGGCACGACAAACTCGATGGAATTTTTACGCACATGACGCAGCAAATGTGGTGCGACGTGTGTGTCCAAGGTGGTGCCGACCGTCTTCAGCAGTTGTCCAAATTTGGCATTATCTCGCTCGATATAGCGGTTGCGCAACACTAGTAAGGGTATGCGAGATCTAGGCGTATGACTCATGCGATTCTCACGAAATGTATCCAATTGTCCACCAATGCGTGAGATCATGTTGACGCTGCGCAACAGCTCGTTGTTCATGCGTCTTATGCGTTCGAAGGCGTTGCAGTCGTCACGTAATTTGGATGCGCGTAGAACATCTCTGATATTGAGTTTTGGCGAAACATCATCTACACGCGGCTTCACCATCAATATCATGTTTCTGTAGTTTTCCAGCTGGCGCCGTCGTTTCTTCTCGGACAATCTCATTCGTTGCATGTTGAAAAGTTATAAATTTATTTATGTAAAACCGGTAAAGTTTAGAAAAAATAAAAATCGAAAACAAATAATGTTCGTCTAAAAATTAAAGGGAAATTTTCTATTTGATTGAGTCAAAAGTGAATTTTTGAATATTTTTTTTTCAGTATTCGTTTGAGCTTGCTGTCAGAGTTGAATATATATTTCACCATATTGTATCAACATTTTAACTCTAAAATAAGTCATTACTTTCAGTAATCCAAACGAAATGCAATAAATATCAGAACTCTCTACTACAGAACCCGGCGAAATCGAATAACTTATGAGTCGCTTTGGCGAAAGCCTTCGCCGATTAGAAACATCTAGTTCACAAGGTCGTCTAAAGATTCACTCTTATATATGGATTGTCTAGAATATTTCTTCTAATGAAATTTTTGGAGTAGTAGAGTCCACCATTAATTCTTTACTCTCCTATAAAATGATTTTTGAGCTGTGATGAGCGTCAGAACTGATATTTCTCGAAAATGTCAAAAGCTGGCAGTCTATTGCACTTCTGCAAAAAAACAGACATACTAAAATATATAGAAATTACCGGGTTCGTAATTATGCAATAAATACCTAATAGCTTATTTTCAAGCGATTAACACAAATTAATGATTGTGACTTTGTCGCACACCTAAAAGAATTCATTACGTGCAACGACTTTTAGCGCTATCCTCATCGCATATATCAACGCAAAAGTGGACCCATGTCAACCGACGCTTTAATGTTTGTTTACCGCGTTTCGTGGAAGGAAGCGCCAGTTTTGGTCCGTAAAAATGGGGTAAAAATTCATTTGCGCAACATCAGCGCTAAACAACGGCGACGTGGGGCGCGCTTCTGTGCTAAGCATGCTTAGCATGATAAATGCGAAGATTTCGCTGATTGGAAGATAGCAAAATCAAATCGCAGCATCTCGCCAAGCTACAGCGCGATACAATTGAGCAATTCGCGCCCGACTTTTGTGGAGGCACTTTATCATCATGTCGCGACGTGCGAATTTGAATAGCATAACTAGATTGCGAACTTTTTTTCGGCGATTGGCTTCTTAATATTTCAGCAACGTGGTTACACTGCATGTGCGTTTGTGTATTTGTTTATTTGCGTTTGTTCTCAACTTTATGCCGTAACCGCCAGCATTTTTCGGCGAACTCACCAACATTTTTTTGCAGGCCACAAATGTGCCAATAAATTTTATTTTATTGGCGCAAAAAGCAAACAACAAAGAGTAGCAGAAGGTTAAGAATACATGGTAAACATGAAAGAGAAGACGATTGAAGAGAGTGTATACGAAAGGGTTTAAGTATGTGCGCGAACTTATGGAGTATAGAAGGTGGGAAAATATGGCTGACGAAGGTGCTGAAGTGCGCATATGTATGTAGTATAAGGTGGTCGACATATCGAGCGATTATATCAAGTTTTTAGTGAGTTAGATGGAAACGAACATTAAATTTCGATGTAAATCGCGCTTTAGTCTGTTAAAACTACAGCAGACATATTATATAATGAATTGATGTGCACGGTCAGTTTATGTGCGAACTATATGAAGCATTACAACTGCTAAATTTTTTATATACTCTTATCTTATATAATCACTTTTGAAAGTCTATAAGCTGATACACATTTATGCTGCTTGTGATTTGAAAAATCGAAATATTCGAGTTACATAAAAATAGTCAGAATTTGGAACTGTGTGATTACCAAAAGTACCAGTATGAAGCGTTTTTTTGTGAAAATGAAATACTAATTTTAAATGGGAAAGTAAAAAAAAATTATTGAGTTGGAGCTTCGGCGAAACGAATTGTGTAGAGAAAAAATGTTATATATTCACATATGATGTTTGGAGTGGACGAGAGCAGTAGTAAGAAAGGAATTTTTTTCGCGACTTCGGAACTTTGTATACATGAATTTTTAATATTTTTTTGGCAAAGTACAAAGGTACGTTACTTGATACTTTAAACTAGAAAATTGAGGCAATTATAAGTACGCTGAAGTGGATTGAGAGCATTCTGTATCGATCCGTACAAATCTAGTTGAGTAGACCATAAGCAGTTCGACTTCCTACTTCGCAACCATGCTGAAACGTTCCAAGTACTTATGCGATATTGTCATCGAAGAAGATAGAGCATGAAATATAGTAAAAATTACTTGCTGCCGTTCCTTACGAGAGCCTTCCTGCCTCCCTTTCGCCATACCATAATGCCAACTGAGCTGGAAATCAATGGTTCATGTCTTTGCTAACCTCACAAATCAGTCAAGTTTTATCGAAACTCATGTGTTCTTTAACAGTTATAGAATGGTTAATCTTATCTCTGAAACCTGACATGAATTCCTGCTTATTTCTCGACTTAATTAAAATGTATTGACTAAGCGATTTCAGTTCAGTTGATGGCCAACTTTTTTTTTAACCACCCTAGTACGTACATAGGAAAATATATACAGCAGCGTCGCCATGCGGAACTACCAATAAACGAAATGGGATTTTATTTGTTTATTGTCTGCAAAATGATTTATACTTTTCGAAATACATTCGTGTTTTGTTGAGGGTTTTAACGGTTTCTTCTCATTTGTTTATTTCTGCATGGGTGTACTCCATTTTTGCATTCGTTTAAATTCTAGGCTATTCGTGTGCTAAATGGGATCGTAAGGCAGGATGGCAGCAAGCGTGAAGTCAGCTTCACAATACAGCCAATAATAAATAAATAAAATTGCGTTTTTTGGCAAAAAAAAAAGGAAGGTTATAAGAACAGCCAGCCAGCCAGCTGTAAAGAGCAAACGCTTAATAAAACTGAATTCAACGATAAATTGCAAAATAAATTGGATTTAAAAAAGGTGCGCGCACGCGCAATTCTCAGGCACAAAGCGCCAGCGGTGACCTGCTAAGCAGCAAACAGCTTCTCGAAGCACACGCCTGGCAAGGCTGTAGAGATGCGTGTGTATTTTTTATTTACTTGAAATTTAATTTTATTGCAAAATTTTTATTTCTCCCATATCCATTCATACTTTGGATGCGCATCGCTCAGCGCAGCAGCCTTCTTACATTCTTCCGCTATGAAAAGCTGTCTGCTAGTAGACGCAGGCAGCGCGGGGTGCGGCCACGCCAAGTCAATTACATGTACACACAATTCACATTTGAACATTTCACACTTTTATTGGCAACATGCGTGGCCGTGGCGCTGCAAGCTATTCATTCCGCACTCCAAGTGCAAGGCGGGCTGTGGTGGCAATTTTCGTCATCGACGTCGTTGGCGACGTTTCGTTGTTTAAATCAAATATTGGTGACAGCAGCGCGGCTTTATGGTTGGCTGCTTGGCTGTTGGGTTTGGCGTGGCAGCTGGACGCGCCACCGCAGCCGTTTGCTGCCAAAGCTTCGCTATAATATGTGCCATGTGCCACAAGCATTCACATATACATATGTATATATTTATATGTGCATTCGTAGATTTATTCGCGCTTTTGTACTGGCAATGTAAATCGTTTTGATTGAAGTTTAAATTGTGCTAGGTCCACACACAGCTCTGCTCGATTGATGAAATATGTTGTGAAAATATGTGCGGACATTTTTCGCATTACATTCGCTTTTTTACTTTTTTATGGCCACAAAGGTAATGAACATGTAATTTCTTTGGAAATACTGCCACGACGTTGGCAGCAAGAAAATCGATAGACTAGAACGTCTTCTGGGCGTTGACAAACGACTCTAGTTGTGTACAGTGTGTCGAAATTGTTGTATATTGTAAAAATATGGCTTTTTACTAAAGGAGCGCAGGCTGACAGCCAGATATTGATCCATATTCCAACCAAAATTGGAACGTTTTATGCTCAAATTGTCGCCAGCCTGACCATTCTTTCAGTTTTGAGGGTTCATTTATGACCAATTCGAGAGGTTTCAGTTTACAAAAGCAGTACCGAGCGTCTGCGGCGGCATCGAAATTTTTTCTGACAGATATTTTTGTCAAGTTTCTTCATACTTCGAAGTTCTTGTCTGCTTCACTGTGTTTTTGCAAGATGCGTATGCGTTATTACACATCGTTCTCTCTCACCAATTGCTGCCCACATAGTCGCCTAGCCTACCTCACGCATAGCTTGTTAAGTGCCAAAGCTAGCATCACGCGCGTACACCGAAACACACTTACACACAGGCATGCACGAAAACTCAATGCCAGCACTCAAGCGCCAATTGAATAGCGCTACTCCAGACGATAGCGGCGCGCAGACGCAGTTACTGCCAATTTCAAAATTGCACTTCGGCAGGAGCAACAAGGCGCGTCGTCATGGCGTTTAAGGCGTCAGCGCGCACGACTCGTCGCCAAGTTGTTAGCACAACGCAACGCATAGTTGGCAACAAGCGGCCACCGGCATACATACAAACAAACATACGAGTATAGACTGTGTCTACGTGGTATGCTCATGCGCCGTGTGTTGGCCCACACGACCCCTCAGCCAATATGTTCATCTTTCATTGCATTTTGCCACTGGCATTGAGCTGTTGTTTGCAGATTGCATTCGTTTGTTTTATTTTATTGCCGGGTTTATTACTATTTGTGTTTACTTTTACCTGTTTCTTTTGTGCGTATTCAGTTTGTTCGAATGCCTGGCTTGGCTTGCGCTTAGCTGGTCGCTTGGTTGATTGGTGCGTGGCGTTGGCTGTCGCTGTCGTTGCGCAGGCGCGAATGTGTCTATTTTAATTTAAATAAAAACGCCTTGAAAGTGTCTGTGGCGATGCGAAGAAATATTGTTTTCACTTACTATTCCTCGCTCCTCCACTTGCCATGCAAATTTCGTTTTCTAATTTTATTTTTTTAATTAATTCTTCGCTTTTGTTGAATACTTTTTAGATGCAGTGACAGCGTCCAACGCGATATTCTGTCTTATGACTGGCTGTCAATATGTTCCTCTGCTTATTTGGTGAAAATATTATTTGTTCTTTAATGCACAGACATATTTTAAGTATGTGAAATCAACGCAATTACTCCGTGTGACCGTCAATTTTATATTTTGTGTGACTTTTTAAGGAGCTTAAAATCATATGGAGAACATCGGGAAATATTTTTAAAGCTTTTTGCGTTTACCTAAACATTTCACTCAAGAGCTCCTAGTATACTAACCAAGAACTTTCGAAGTCAAATTCCACTGTCTTGTACCCATCCAACTCCTTTAAAGTCATTTAGGTTGCGTTTGGTACCACTAGTGTTGGACGAAAAATAGTTCGTAAAATAATTACAGGATCTGGGAGTTATAAGTTCTCT